GGAGAGGCGGCCTGGACACCTCTGCACTAAGGATAGGTGCTCTTGGGAGAGGCGGCCTAGGCCCTTCTGCAGTCTGCTTTACACTCCTGGGGATCAGGCGCTCTTGGGAGAGGCTGCCTGCCCAGGTTTGTTCTGAATTCTTTCCTGCTTTGCAGGTTGGGGAATGCTCGGGCACTCTTGGGAGAGGTGGCCCTCCATCCCTTTCTCTATGGCTCGTAGGACCTCCGTCTCTACCGCTTGGTTGCGGAATGAGCACGTGGGTCACGAGTTTGCTCCAATCACCGGAGTTCATGCCTGGGCTTCGCTATGTTATGCATTAGCGAAGCCTAAAGGGCGAAGCAACATATGAAATAGAAACCCCAGTTACCTAATCTAACTAAGGTTCTATGAATATGTTGCGAAGCCCTTTAGCTTCGAGCCCAGCAGGCCTGCCCTCTCTTATTCGGCTGAGTTCGAAAGGAGAAGAGCTGTGGTGCATGGCCCTATTTATAGGGGACTGGCCTACGCCAGGACGTGAAGGTGATTGGAGGGTGGATCGTTTGATCTTCTCAGGGCGGGAAGCGATGCTTCCGAGAGATATGCATTAGCGAAGCCTAAAGGGCTTCGCAACATATTCATAGAACCTTAGTTACATTAGGTAACTGGGGTATGTACATGCAATTAACATGTGAGAATACTGTTTCCAATGTATGTTTAAGTGGCTAAGCTCCCGTTTTTATGGTGTTTAGTCAGTGTCCTAAAACAGCATATGTAGCTGTACATTTACATTGACATTGTCACTCTATGGTGTTGTTTTTGGTTACTGTTTATACTATATTGATAATGACTTTTAATGACTGAATATGTACTGATCTTTACAATACAGTAAGGTTAAAATAGTATTATTGAACATTGTATTTTGAATGAGATCGATAGCATTGCTATTTATGGATGAGATATATTATGATTCTTATTGTAATATTATATGTATCATTGATTATATGTGCACATTAGAGTGATTTTAGCTTTAAACAACTAGCTTGGATCAGAACTAAACTGGTACCTGGTTATTTATTGGAGCTTTGGTCTTGTTCTCAAGGGCCATGGTTCCTACTGATTCGATGATGGCGAGCTAGAAAGGAGCAGGCAGAGAGCCTATAGTCTGGCACTCCGCTGAAGAAATGGAATTACCTCTCCTGCCGGGCTGGTAGGGGGCTCCTTGTAGCCCACGAACTCTCCCCACACACCTCTCACTGCACACACACACTATTCCCCCCATAAACTAAAGACAATTCCCCCTTGGACATTCACATTATAACCCAGACGTGGGTTCTCCTTGGGACTTGTGGAGGGGTCGGGAAGTGTGTTGAATCCCTCAGCTTTGAGGGTTCCCAAGTTGTGGGTTCTGGACTTTTTTTTTGTTCTTTTTGAAATATGTCTGATGATCGAGTGTTATTTCAACAGCTGCATTGAATCATTGTTGCTATTGTACTTTTATTACTGAATGGCCCTTTTATCTATACTTGGTGTACACTGTAAATGTTTTTGCACGTTTTCCTCATCTTTATTACTAAATGCATGGTACCTGCAAAAAGTTATTCCGTCTCCTGTCCACTCCCTCCTAGAGCCGTACCTAGACTTCTGTTACTAGCCCAGACTTTCAATTGTGTTACCTGTTTTCTTTGACTCATATTCATTAGTCTCAACATTTAATCACGCCACAGGTGCTACATATTCTTGGCGAGCTAGCCAGGAGGGAGTTATACAAACAGAACGGTGTGTACCTGTATGGTAAAGTGACATTTGCGCAAATATGGACATTTTACAGATATACGGCATAAAAATCCCTAACGCTGTTTTGATTCAACACGCTACGGGTACTGAAACGGATGAGGAAATAATTCAATTTTTAGGCCAGCAGGGTAAAGTATCAAAAGTAGAAATAATAACTGAAGAGGGAGTTTTCAAAAATGCTATCATTGTTGAATTTTTCTCCGGTGCGACAATGACAGAGTTGCAAAATATTTTACCGCATATGTTTGAATCTCGTGATAAAACTGTTACTTATGAACTTCGTGAACTTTGCCTCTTTTGTTCAGAAAGGGAGGGAAGTGAGAAAACCGAGAAATACATCCGTGAATTGCGAGGATTAGCTAAACTCACAGGGCAGGACTATGAAGAAGTCCTCCAGGGGGTGATGTCTTTACTGGGCCAGTCAATCCCAAGAGTCACTTCCACACATGCCAAGGAAGAAGAGGGGGACACCGCTGACACCGCTGCCACCAGTCCCGCACGCAGTACGGCACCCAGAATCCAGGTTAATCCCAACCTTCCATCTGCCAGACCTGCACCTCCAGCTATGGGCCTGCAAGATCTTAATCCTCTTGGGGTGCAACGCTACGTAGTGGAACACATCGTGAAGAGTGAAGATGGAGCAGCGCACGTGTCATCTCAGAGACTCCGATCGTTCTCTGGCCGAGTACCAAGACCCACACAGGAAACAGACTATGAAACCTGGCGCTCAGGTGTGGAACTCCTGTTAAAAGATCCAGCAGTTTCCGATCTGCAGCGTTCCAGGAAACTGTTTGACAACCTTTTACCGCCAGCCGCAGATATGGTGAAACATCTGACACCCGAAACACCACCATGGATATATCTGCAGATTCTGGGCTCAGCATATGGAACTGTCCAAGATGGCGACGAGTTGTACGCGAAGTTTATGGAGCTGTTCCAAGATGCTGGCGAGCAGCCGTCCGCGTACTTGCAACGTCTGCAAGTGGCGCTCAATTTGGCTGTGAAGAGGGGCGGAGTAAAAGCTACAGAGCTGAACCGGCATTTGCTCAATCAATTTTGCCGTGGATGCTGGAACAATACCCTGATATCCGAACTCCAGCTAAAGCAGCGCTAGCCCCACCCACCATCTTTCGCTGAGCTACTGCTATTGTTGCGGACGGAAGAAGACCGGGAGGCTGCTAAAGCTCAGCGCATGAAGCAGCACCTCGGGTCAAAAGCTAGAGCCGGGGCGCACGCTCAATATGCTGCAGCTGCATCAGAAGAAAGCAAGGTTGATGCATACGGGTTTTAAAGATGGCGGTTGAGTTGTTTTTCCCAATCAGTGTAAGGCAGTAGGCCGACGTTGACGTCATGGCACGGGTATACTATGGGGATGGAACCAATGGCTGAGGAGTACGGAAAAGTACTCAAATCTCCCATCCATCCACTAGTGGAAACGCAATATAACCGTGCTGAATGTTCTGTTACTGTACCGTACTGATACTGTGGAAAAAGCGGCATAAAGCACCCTCAGTGTAGGAAGGAGCGCTACCGTAGGGCCTGTAATCCCCACGCTGTCTGACTGTCACTTAAAAAGGTCACTGTTGTGAGAACCTGCACTACTATTGACACTGTTTCCTATTGCCACTTGGACACTTTTGTTGTACATAATTATCCTGCATGTAACATGTTTCTTTCTTTTGCACAATCTGAGTGTCTGATCCATGCCAATGTGACATGTAAATTTCTCCTTGTGAGATAAATAAAGCACATATTATCTTATAGATTATTACGAGGGCTGTCAAAATTATTGCGTTAACTTAATTAATAAATTGACGCTTCTGACGCATGTACGAAGGACCCGCCCATGATCCCATAATAACGCTCAGAATGCCGGAGGAACATACGTGAGGAAGATGGGTCTCCGTATTGGTCTCAAATAGCCCTTACACAGACTGGGATGTGAATCTACAGTCATATAGTATTGAAACTGTAACGGAAACTCATTGAATGAGAAAGGTTGTCTAAACTTTGGTGTGTGCTCACTACAATAACGCTACACTTTTGTCTGTGCTCCCATTTTCCATTAGATGGACTTTAAAGATCTCAAATTAATTCCCAGATACACCAATATTATCATTGATCTCATACATTGTTCCAAATTCGTAGCTAACTGTGTGGTCTTTGTGAGCATGCTTTGCTGAGATAATCAATCCAACCTCACAGGTGTTGCCACATCAAGAAGCTGATCTGACATCACGATTAGTGTTACAGTTGTGCCTTAGACTCTGTAGTCTTTTTTGTGTGGTTGTGGTCCGCTAGTCCACTATTAAAAGGCTACTCTGAAATGTGCTTTATTTTGCTTTATTGGGGGTCTGTGGACTTAGAACAGTCAGTATTCTGGGTCGTGACCATCATTTGCTCATGGCAGTGCAAAACATCTTCTTCGCATTGAGTTTATCAGATTGTCAATTGTCGCGGTGGAATGTGTTTCACTCTCTGTTAATGGCTGTGCCAAGTTGCTGGTTATAGATAGAGACTTTATTGATCCCCCTTGTTTTTGGAGAAATAAAGTGTCCAGTCAGTAGCAAAATACAAAAAATAAATTTTATATTCTAAAAAGTAAAATAGTATAAGCAGCAAAGCCTCTTTAGGGTACAGGAGCAGCGGTTGGAGCAGGAAAGATCACAAGGTGGAGTAGCCACTTGGTGACCATGGATCTTATAATAACTGGATAGGTATTACTAGCTTTTTGCTGTCCCACCCATGGACTCAGGGGACGCCTGTGATACTGAAACTAAATTCACGAAATTCAGAAAAGTCCAATTAGAACACAATGTAAATTAAAAACAAGGCTCGACTCAGCTGACAAACTTACAGCTTTCAGAAATTATCGGATTTTGTGGGGATTGTAGTGTCCCTTGTTCTCCTGAACTTATTTTCTTATTAAATCCTTTGGTTTTCTTTATCTCCACACTTTACCTGCCACAAACTCTGACTTGTTTCCTTTCCGCTCTGACTCGCTGTCTTTCTGCTGCTGCTGGCTGATCAGCGGGGTTTGTTTGGTCAAGCACAGGATTCCCCTCTGTGCATTGCGTGAAGCACATATGCCTTTCAGCCTCTTTCCCATCAGTGAGGTTTTTTCCTGGACCATCCAAGTAAACAGAGTGGCAGGATAGACTAAGTCGGTGCTTCACTTGTGCTTCGTAAATGTTTTTTCACCGCAAACAAACGCGTTCCTATTTTCCTCAGCCGCTCTCGTGAAAGTTTCGAAGGATTGAAAGCTTGCTCCCTCCAGTGGATACCACGCGTCTCCTGGCCACCTGTAGTACCTTCTCCCATTGCAGAAGAGCGTAAGAAGCGAGACAAGTACGCACTCGGTTTGTTATGGGTCTGGAAACAGGTAAAAGGGATGAGATGGGCGGTTCAATCTTCAAATTCACTGCTGTAAGCCCGAAGTGCGTCCTCTAAGATTCTTTTCCACATATTTTTGCCATTTTCCCAAGCTCTTCACAGTCCTTCTTTAAGTGAACGATAACCAACATTTATTCTCCTCCTGTTCTTCAAGTTCCTCCACCGTGACCACAGCTACATCAACTCTGGTTCCAACTTGAGTAGCTAGTCAAAGGGACCATCTTTAGAGTCACAATAGTGTAGAAATAGAATTAGATAAATGCATCAACCATAAAGTAGAAAATATTTCTAGCCAGTGCTAATATCAAATGGTAAAGGGACCATTTCACAAACCTTTAATTCAAAAGTAGATAAAGTTCATTACAGTTTATGTACAGTTTTATTAGATACTGTCAAATTCACTTGTGTTCAAACATCTGTGAATGTTGAACAATGCAAAAAGTTCATGAGTGTAGCCTAGATTAATGTAGCTTAGATTAATGAGATAGATTAGAACCAACAGAGATTCAAAAGCATCTTTGAGAAGTTAAAAGCTGTCAATTCGCCAGCACAGATTAGAGAATCAAACACCATTGACCCCAACTGACCCCAACCCCAAACCTGCTAAAATAGATTAGCTCTTGTAAGGATAATACTAATTTGATTAATGATGTACATTCATCCCAAACTGCCTGAGAGGAGGAAGTTACATCACTTCCTGGTTCAACAAATGTATTTGGAAAACTGACCGCCATAATAATGTTCATATTAACCATTTGTCTTACTGTGTTCACAGTTTTATTCCTGAGAATGAGAATAGACATGGAGCAAAATCCCACTGGCACAAAGCCACTGATAATGAGAGTGTAAACCACAGAGAGATTTATTAGATTAAAATATATGTTTAAGAATATGGCTCAATAGAAGCAAATATACAAACATATTTGTAAATAGATTAGAATAGTTTTTAAACTATAGTGAACAATAAAAGTAAAGTACACGGTCTAAGATTAAAAAGTGAAAATAATACAGTGAAATAAGTGTAGTGTAAACAATTAGCATTAGAATAAAAGTATAGAGTAATAAAAGTGAAATTAGCTTCTAATTTGAGACTCAGCTCGTTTTTGTCTGTGTTTTGACTGAATCTGCTGAGTTCTTGTGTGTCCAATAGTTTTTGATTGTTTTTATTTTTGATTTGTTTTTGTTTGTTTTTGTTTTTTGTTCATTTATTTACTTTTTTTGTTTGTTTTTCTTCAGGATAGAGGATAAAATCCACTGATATTGATTTGATGATTATGAGTTTTAATAATTTTTTTTTGATTTTTTTTTTTCTCTTTTTCCACTTTATTGATTGATCAAATATAGTGATCACATGTGATTATGTGATCAAAGGGGAGGGTGTTAGTATTAGATAGCAATATGGCCTACGTGCAGGACTGTACAAGGACTCTACAAGGACTCCATGTTATGACTATGATGTGACTGTCTCTTTGTGACACGTATGTCTTTCGATGTGTGACGTGACAATGACTATATAAACTGTGTACTGCCTTTATTCTGTCTGAGAGAAAGAAACAAAGTAAACCATTGGAACTTGAGAGAAACTTAAATAAACTTCCAGAGTTTGGCGCACCACGATCCGTCTCTGTCTGCTTCATCCCTGACAGCAGCATCTGGAACAAAGTGAAGGAGACAGAGCTGAGGCTCCATCATGTGAACCCAGAGTCAGACTCTACAGGATCACACTTCAGTCTTAACCTTGTGCTGCAGCTGCTGAGCTTTACAGACCAAACACACACAGTTCCCTCCAGAGAGAACTAGAATTAGTGTCAAAGGAACTCTGACTTAACCTGCATCAAACACATTGATTTCTTCATAAAGCCCTTAACGAACTCTTTAGCATCATTTCTACAAGATACTACACACATTCTTGTTAATACCGTGCGTAACACCAACCTGCCAGGGGGTCTGCAGATGGAAATTCGCCTAAGGCTATAATCTGGCATATTTACATGATGTATATTAATATGTATTGTTCCCCCTTTCTCAAATAAATAAATACAAATAAAAAACAGACACATTGGGTATAAGCCTGATTCTCTGCTTGTTACTCTGGATGTAGAGTCTCTGGGCCTCATGTATGAAAATTGTGCAGAAAAGGTTTACATTTTGGGTGTAGATTCCAGATACGCAAGATCTGACGTGGCATTTATGAACGTGTGAGATACGCACAGATCTGAGCGTACGCACCTGCGGCTGTTGATAAATGCCGCGCTCAAAACCAGCGTATTTATGAAAGTCACGCCTATAGATAATCAGAAAGTGCCTGTTCCACGCCCTGTTTTTGCGACAGGTCAGCAGGAAGTCTGCTAAGAAGCCGCAAAAAGCACACACTTTTGAGTTTATTCACGTTTAAAATGAAATATTTATACCCTATATTATACATACACTTTTTTTCCCTAGTGTCTAGACCCACTGCAGCACTCATCTCTCCTGAAATTTCGATGTAAATAAATAAATAATAAATGGCCTGAATTAATAATAATAATAATGCATCGGTTTTATATAGCGCTTTTTTGGACACTCAAAAGACGCTTCACATGTGTCATTATTCATTCACTCCATACACGGTGGTGATAAACTACTACTGTAGCCACAGCTGCCCTGGGGCACACTGACAGAAGCGAGGCAACCAGTGTGCGCCATCGGCCCCTCCGACCACCACCAACCATTCATACACACACCAGACTCATTCTAGGCGATGGGGGTGAAGTGTCTTGCCTAAGGACACAACAGCAGTTTGGCACTTTACAGCCGCAGCTGCCCCACTGTGGCTGGTGTTCCCAGAGGTTAAGTGTCTTGCCAAGGACACAACGACAGTAGTCAGTGGGAGTCGATGGTGAAAGTCTTGAGCGGGGCTTGAACCCACGACCTTCTGGTCGTGGCAATAATTTTTATTGCCACGTAAGTAACAGGAAGTCACAGACATGGAAATTGCTTTGGCTCAGTGAAACAGTCAGAAAGAGATAATACAAAATAAGAAATAAAAAACACTTCTAAGGAATAAATTTCAATTTAACATAGAGTTACAGTTATTATTTACAATATACAAGTGCACATGGTGCACACAATGTGAGGTGACAGCAGTACAGTGAAGTAAAGTGACGTATGATGGGCAGTAAAGTGACTTTATAAAGGGCGGGGGGACAGGTTAAGAAGTGTTCAAGAGTCCAACAGCAGAGGGGAAGAAACTGTTTTTGTGGCGGGAGGTTCTAGTCCTGATGGACCGCAGTCTCCTGCCTGAGGGGAGTGGTTGGAATAGTCCATGTGCAGGGTGATAGGGGTCGGCTGTGATACGACCAGCCCGGCCTCGCGCTCGGGCGACGTACAGGTCCTGCAGCGATGGAAGGCTGCGGCCAATCACTTCCTCTGCAGAGAGCACAATGTGCTGTAGTCTCTGCTTGTCCCTGACTGTGGCTCCAGCGAACCACACGGTGATGGAGGAGGTGACGGAGGAGGTGACGGAGGAGGTGAGGATGGACTCGATGGTGGCCGTGTAGAACTGCACCAACATCTGTGCAGGCAGCTTGGCTTTCCTGAGCTGCCGCAGGAAGTACATCCTCTGCTGGGCCTTCTTGATGAGGGAGCTGATGGTCGGCTCCCACTTGAGGTCCTGGGTGATGGTGGTGCCCAGGAAACGGAAGGACTCCACAGAGGTGATGGGGGAGTCCATCACGGAGGGTGGGGGCGGGGGGACAGTGCTCTTCCTGAAGTCCACAATCATCTCCACTGTCTTCTGGGCGTTCAGCTCCAGGTTGTTACCACTGCACCAGGACACCAGGCGGTCCACCTCCCTCCTGTAGGCAGACTCATCGTTGTTGGAGATGAGTCCAATGAGGGTGGTGTCGTCCGCGAACTTGATCAGCTTTACGGAGTCGTGGCTGGAGGTGCAGTGGTTGGTGTACTGGGAGAAGAGCAGGGGAGAAAGAACACAGCCCTGTGGGGCTCCTGTATTTATAATCCGAGAGTCCGAGACATTCGCACTCGCTGCTTCCTGTCTGTCAGGAAGTAGGGTTGGGCGATATGGGCCTCAGCATGTATCACGATTTTTGTTGGTATGTATCACAATATGACGATATGATAATTTTAACAAAGCCTCATATAAAAGCTATAAAAACTTAGCACTGATAATTTTAAACACACTTGCCTCAAAGTGCATTTACTGATTTATTGGCAGCAAAATGTGTAATACAGCTATTGTATATAAAACGTATTAACAAAACTGAATTGTAGAGAATTCTGTTTTATACATACTGAAAATTGCAGGTAACATGTAATAAAGGTGAACATTTGTAATTTGTAAAATATATAAAAGTTTGTCCTTTGTAATATAAAAAGTGTAGCATTAGTGACTCAAAAATGCACAATTTTTGAGTCACATTCAAGAATATCTGCTAGCTTTTTGAGGCTATGGCCGAGTTTGATTTGTGTCATATCCAGCCACAGACCTGACTGCGTCAATCACATGGTTAAAGTTGGAAGGAATAAAGAAGTCCTTAATTGTTTTCAGTTTCCCTGCCGTTTTTGCTTTGTTCATTAAGCTACCGACTTCTCTCATTTTCTGCCTAATGTAATCATGCTTAGTCTTATCATGCCGCTGTTTTAAGTACAGGTGCTCTCCGAGTCTCAGAATCCCTTTTTCTGCTGGGGTCCAGTGTTCGGGCCCAGTCCCCATGATGAATCTCAGGTTATGGACCCCACCAGGAGTTGAAAACAAGTACACACACACGCACGATAGGAGCAGCTTTTGTCAAAAACTGCACATTAACTAGACACAGCCCGATTTTGGCCTCATGTAAATTTGTTGATAAAATGTGTTCAGATAAGTAACTGATGTCTGGTTTTTCTGTGTTTGTTGCAGATCTACAAAGTCAATTTACAGAATGGGGTTCACCTGTGATCAGTGTGGAAAGACCCGCAGCTCTGCTTCCAAACTAAAGAGACACTACAGAACTCACACTGGAGAGAAGCCGTACAAGTGTGATCAGTGTGGAACAAGTTTTACTAGAAGAGGAAGTCTCAAGCGCCACAGCAGAATCCACACTGGAGAAAAACCCTTCAGCTGTGACGTTTGTGATCAGAGTTTTAGACAAGAGCATACTCTCAAAGAACATAAGAGGATCCACACAGGAGAGAAACCATTTGAGTGTGGTGAGTGTGGACAAACATTTAGGATCAAACAGCTGCTCTCACTACATCAGCATGTCCACACAGGAGAGAGACCTCACCAATGTGACCAGTGTGAGAAGACTTTTACACAATTATCTGTCCTCACTGAGCACTACAGAATCCACACTGGAGAAAAAACATTTGTCTGTGGAAAGTGTGGAAGGTCTTTTACACATAGCTCATCTCTTCATCGACACTTTAAAACGTGTGAGAAGCAGGTGTGAAGACGCAGTGTTAGTATTAGATAGCAATATGGCCTACGTGCAGGACTGTACAAGGACTCCATGTTATGACTATGATGTGACTGTCTCTTTGTGACACGTATGTCTTTCGATGTGTGACGTGACAATGACTATATAAACTGTGTACTGCCTTTATTCTGTCTGAGAGAAAGAAACAAAGTAAACCAGTGGAACTTGAGAGAAACTTAAATAAACTTCCAGTTTGGCGCACCACGATCCGTCTCTGTCTGCTGAATCCTGACAGATTTGGTGGAGATTTCTCTGGATTGTTTTGAGGGAGTTTGCTTTGTTTCTTTTCCTCGGCGTGAGAGATCGGCATGCTGTGTCTGGGAGCGGGGATTCCAGGAGGCTGGAAGAGCTGTTCCTGGATGCTTCTTGTCGCTTCTGTCACTTTTGTTTTTTAAATTGAATATTCCGACGCGGAAAAGAGTTGGCAGACCTCTCGGACAGTCCTTGGAACCGGTTTGACAAGAATAAGGTAAGCAGACACCTTTTTATATGTAAAGTCTGCATAATTGGATACTAGCTAAATTTTGGTCTGTTTTTGAGGTCTGTCAAACTCTCTAAATTGTGTTCAAATAAGTGAGGATCCATAAAGTGTTGGCCATAAAGTGAGTGAAGGATCCATAAGTGTAAAGGCCATAAAGTGTATAGGATCCATAAGTGAAAAGGCCATAAAGTGAGTGAAGGATCCATAAGTGAAAAGGCCATAAAGTGAGTGAAGGATCCATAAGTGAAAAGGCCATAAAGTGAAGGATCCATAAGTGTAAAGGCCATAAAAGTGAAGGATCCTAAGTGAAACCATGGTGTAAAATTAAAAGCAATTTATAAAACGGGAAATGTGTTAAAGAGGCCTTTGTTACAAAAGCTTTGAAGTTGACAAATTTCAGGCTGATAAATGACAAAAGTAAAGAATTAACAATATTTCAGTGATCACGGTTTAAATTACATACAGAAAAAGGGAGTTTTTGTTTTTGGCGTGAACAGAGTTCACCGGAGAATGCAGAGTTTTATCTAAAGTTGAGCTATGAGAGCTTTCGTGAGTTATTTACATTTTTTCCCGATTTATATCTACAGTTAAGCTATGAGAGGTGTAGTCAATAATTCCCTTGACTGGACGTGTACAAAGTTGATGCAAGAGTAAGACAAAGATCTCCAAGTTTAACATCTGCATTTAATTATCTTTACAATCAGATACAGAATATTCAACAAAAAGTGCTCCTAAAACTAATATGTCCCTCTCCTCTTCCCCTGCGCTAACCTCCCCCCAGAACTCAAACCAACAGTTTTATCAAGACGTCTGATGACGTCACTTGTGGGCGTCTCCCGAATGTTCTTTTCGGGTGTGCTGGCGTCCCGTGTCCACTGGGAGGCGTCAGAATGCCTTTGGAGAATCTCCCAGTCTGCCTGAGAGAGATTAGCCAGATGGTGTTTTTGGACTTTTGGCCTCGCCAGAGAGACAAGAATGTTTATTCCTGGAGTTAATAATTTGTCCCGTTTTGAAAGTTGGTATCTCTATGACTGATTGTAGTTTCTCCATTTGACCCTCTTTATTCCTGTTTGCAATCCTTGTCCTTGGGGTTTTTCCCCGTGCACATTCTTCAGAGGGCCTATTTTCAAAATCATTAGTATACAACATTTTAATTATGCAACAGAGGGTTGTATCCAACAGTTGTTTTTTTTTTTTAGAAAGAGATTTTGAGTTTAAACTAGTTTGCTACCTCGATAAAATAGAAGCGTAAGGGAAATTAAAGAGTAAAGAGTGCCTTTTGTTACTAGTGTGGAAAGTGATCACTTCTAGACTTGGATGACAAAAGTTAAAGAACAACATCAGTTAAATTTGCTTAAAAAAGTAATCTTGAAAGTTCTTCTTCTTTCTGTTTTAGCATTTTTGCTAAAACACTACTTTCTGCCTGTGTGTGTGCGTCTGTGTGAAAGGAACCCCCCGCCCTCGCTGCTGCTGAGCTGCTGCTCTGATTTAAAGGGGACCTACTGCGTTTAGGATTTTGGCTTTTCATAGTTGTTATTTTTAAATTTGCTAAATTTGCCATTGAACATTGTGTTATGACACAGTTAAACGTTTTAAACACCATTTAGTAAAAATAAGTTTTGAATTATTATTATTATTATTTATTATTATTAGTGCTAAAGTTGTGCAATTCTTTTTAGATCTAACATATTTCTAGATTCCATTCTTTTAAATCTGCTGCTTATTTCTTAACTGTTTGTGAGTTGTGTTTGTTTTTATGTTTTTATTTTAGTTACAAAAGCTGTTTTTCAAACATTTAAATTAGAATCTGTGTTAAAAGTGATTATTGATCATAGACTTTGTCTAAAAAGAAAGAGGGAATTAGGCTGTAAAAGTATTATTAAGTTGAACTGTACCCAATTCACCCAATTCACATTCAAGTGGTGACTTTTGTTTTTGTTTTGACTACACGCCTGACCTTGTTGCTCCTGCTGATGCCACCGCAGAGGAGACTGGTCTGAAATGTGCTCCAATTCATATTGACTTCATTTGAAAAATGCTGCAATTATTTTATATTAGTAGAATATATGCTGAGATAAATGTTCAAGATAATTAAACACACAGTACAAAAGTACATAATACATATTTTAAAGTTTGAAGATTTTTGAGATTTGAGTCTTGTTTTTTATATTAAAAGTTTCTGGTTTTAAAAGTGTCATCATTAGTAAGATAATAAGTAATCTTTATTTACATAGCGCTTGGAAAGCCAAGAGCGCTCCAAAATTGTTTAGACTTTAGAGAGAAAAACAATCTCATTCACATACTGATACTGTATCTGTTGGTTTTAATTTGACTATAAGGTTGTGTTCCAGAACCAAGGGCACACACTGTACAGGGCCACTGGACAGCAGGAGTGGACACTGAGGGATCAGAACAGTGGCCCAGAGTAGACACCATCCAACCAGCCGCAGATCGTAAAGGCGACATAGCTACCTCCGTGTGCCCCTCCCCCCACTAGAGACCGATGGTCGTAAGTGGCAGTGAGACCGGGGCCACAAAGTGGGGTTTTCTGTAGGCAGTGGTGGGTGAGTTGTTTTGCAAACTTTGTTTTGGAAGTGTGCCCACTTTGCTTGTTTACATCGAGCCAGTGTGACCTTTGACACTGTTAGAGCTATTTGTCTATTTTTTATTCTAATTATGATCTACTTTAGTTAATTATTTTTCTTAGTTTGCAAAGATAATTTTGGGTTAATTATTGCTTATGTTAATTTAATTTGGTCACGAGGATAAATAGGGCGATGGGGGGGGGGGGCGCGGCTTAGAGGCGTTTTGGGCATATGGTTTTTTACCAGCGAGAGGAGAGGCTGCAATTCTGCATGTTTGCCATTTGCTTGGAGAATAAACCCACCAAAAATGTAATTTTGTTTGGACATTATGTTTTCTCTATCCTGCGTAAAGCCAACCTGAAAACGCCTTAGTGGCCTTTTGATTTGTTTTGGTCTAAGTTGGACATGGTTTGAGTTA